ACTGATCTATTATTTTGTAAAATAACTGCACCGAGAGCCGATTTGCTTGAATCTACAGATAATACTATAGGAATATTAACATTGAAATGTGCAAGAACAGGAAGATTTGTTATAATTTTTTTTAAATCAGTGAAAACTTTATCATGACAACTATTCCATTGCCATGGGGTTTCTTTTTTGAGTAGCCCTCTCAAAATTTCTGTCTCAATTGCCAAGTTTTTGATAAATGAAACAATGTAATTTACCATGCCCAGAAATCTTTGCAATTCTTTTATATTAGTAGGAACAGGCATTTCTTGAATTGCTCTTATTTTCTCGAAGTCAGTGGACATTCCTTTTGAATTGAAAATGTTGCCAAGATATTTCACTTCTTTTTGTGAAAATTTACATTTTGATAAAGAAAATTTAATATTTAGTTCTTTGGCTCGAATAAGGACATCAACAAGTCGTTGATCGTGTTCCTCTTTAGTCTTTCCAAAAACTAGAATATCATCTATATAGACTAATACACCAGGTAAGCAATCGAAACTTTCTGTCATCGCCCTGTGAAATATTTCAGGAGCTGCATTTATACCGAATGGTAAACGATTGAATTTATATCTACCGAATGGTGAATTGAATGTACATAAATCTGAACTTTCTGAATCAAGAGGAATCATCCAAAAACCACTATTCGCATCTAAAGTAGAAAAATAAGTTGCATCAACTAGTTTGGATCGTATTTGTTCAATTGTTGGAATAGGATAACGTTCTCTAAGAATGGCTGTATTAAGATTCCTAGGATCAAGGCATATACGAAGATTACCATTTTTCTTTTCAACAACAACAATTGAACTTACCCACTCTGTAGGTTTTGTAATTTTTGAAATAACCATCAATTGTTCCATTCGATCTAACTCAGCTTTGAGTCTTGGTTGCAGTTTGAAAGGAATTTTTCTAGGAGGATCAATGATTGGTCGAATTTTATAATCAATTGTGAGGTGACATTTTTAAGCTAAACACCCTAAGCCTTCAAAACTATCTTTAAAATTTTTCAGAATATTGGGAATATTATTTTGTATAATGCAAACTTTGTTTATGAGCCCAAGTTCTTGGCATGTATCAAGACCAATAATTGTCTGACAATCTATTTTCGCAATAATGAATTTTATGAAAACTTTTTCATTATTATCGTAATGGCACTGTAAAGTACAACACCCAGTTATAGGAATGGTATGACCAGTAAAATCATTCAGTTTAATATGGCATTGCTCAATTTTCATTTCTGAATATTTCAATGATTTCAATAAGTTGTCTGATATTATATTAATCTGACACCCTGTATCTAGCATTGCTTTGACATTTATGTTATTGATCTTCAAATCTATGAACCAAGAATCAGATTTATTTGTATGAGATATTTGACCTACGAAAAATTCTTCATTGAAAACTGAACGAGTTCTACAGACTTTGTCAAAATGATTTTTCTTGTGACATTTTCTACATGTTACCCCTTGCGCAGGACATCGACTTCTGTGAATTTCGCCGCATCTTCCACATCTTGGTTTACCATAAGAATTCTCGGAATCATGACGATTTCTTGAAAAGGATCGATTCTGACTTCTATTAGTAGACTGACGTTCCTCTCGAGTTGTACTTCTACCTCTGTTGTGGAACTGCTTCTTTGAATGAACTGCGCCAACGAAACCATCTACTTTCGGACGAAGCTGTTCTGCCCTTTTTTGAGTTAGCTGAAGAGTTTTACAAAGATCCAGTGCTTTTTGGAAAGTGAGATTCCCTTCACGAAGTAAATATTCCTTGATATAATGATTCGATTCATTGAGTCCTCTTATCCTTATATCCTTCACTAAATCTTCTCGGAGAATACTAAATTCACAGGAAAAACTTTTATTCGTCAAATCGGTCACGAAGTCATCGATTGATTCATCTTGGTGCTGTGTTCTGCTGAAGAAAATATGTCTTTCCATGGTTATATTCTTCTTTGGAACGAAATAGATGATGAGATCGTTTAAAGTTATCGAATCAATGTCAACATTGAAGGAGTTGAAAATGATTATGCCAGGGTCTCCGATGAAATGTAATAACATGGCTACCTTTCGTTCATTGGTTTCTCTATCATAGCCAGATGCACGGAGGTATATCTTGAATGATTGGAGCCAATTCTTCCAATTATCTGCCAGATTACCTTCACCCGACATAGCATTGACTCGACCAGCCAGACCTGTCTTTGCTGAAATGATCTGGTTTTCTTGGGAATGAGGAATAGTTTGTTCGGCTTCATCTTCTGACACCATGTTGTATTATATCAATTAAGATATATAAATAATATAATATGAATTGAAGAAGTATTTATTAAGTTGTGGAATCTGTGACATATGTATGACAAAATCTATATATTATTGATTCCCTGTCTCCATGTTACAAAACTATTAAAACTATCTAGATTCATTTACATTACTAGATACAGGATGATTATCATATAATATATCATCATAACAAACCCCATTTTTCAAAATAATGTTAAGTTCTATTACAGATACGTTGATGATTCTATAGTTTTGTTTGATGGCGATGGTACTATGCTTAATGATTTCTTGCTTTTTCTCAACAATTTACACCCCAATATCAAATTCACCATGGAAGTTGAAGTTAACGGTTCCATCCCCTTTTTGGACTTGAAGATTAATAGATCTCACAACAACCTCACTTTCGACATTTACAGAAAGCCCACCCATACAGACACAGCTATACCGTTCAGCTCCAATCACCCCTATCAACAGAAATTTGCTAGTTTTCATAGTATGTTTCATAGACTCTTCAATTTACCTCTTTCAGTAAGTTCTTTTAATAATGAACTCAACATAATAAAACAAATTGCACATAATAACGGTTTTCCACTAAATTTAATTAACAAACTTTTTTATAAACACCAATCAAAATTTATTAACAGGAACCTTCTGCCATCAATCGAAAAATCCAACAGGATATACAGATCTATGTCCTATTTTGGCCCACATTCCCTCAAATTTTCAAAAATCTTTGCACAACATAACATTTCTTTATCTTTCAAAACCAATAATAGTTTAGGTTCCATTTTTGTTAATAACAAAGATAAAAACCCTGTACATTCTAAGTCAGGCGTTTACAAGATCAAATGCTCTGATTGCAATGCAGAATACGTTGGTCAGACAGGGAGAGCTTTTTCCACCAGGATAGCAGAACATAAAAAGACAATTGACAAATATATTAACTCTGATATTATCAACACTACATCTTCTTTCGCAAATCATGTTCTCGAGAATAAACACAAACATAATATAGTAGAAGATTTTGAAGTTCTACATGTTCATCCTAACGGAAAAAAGCTTAACCTTCTGGAAATTCTAGAAATCAATAGATCTGCCCATTCAAATTCAACTGTTTGTCTTAATGAACAAGTTAGATTTGATTGCCTATCCACTTTCAATTCCATTTTGTAATCTTCCTCTCCATTCATTGGTTGCATTGGCAATTCCTTTTTTAACGTTGTTATTCCTATTTCAAAAAACACAATTTTAAATACCCGACTTAGTCAATCTAGACACATTTCCTTGTTTGTTATGAATTTTGATGTATGGTCCATTAAGTCAACTTCAATGTTTTGTGGTTTTGATAGATGACATTTGTCACTTGTTTGTCGAATAATAATTTTTATCTGTCAAATCAAGTAGTCTGTCGGTTTGTTCACTTCATAACCGCGCCATTTGCTGTAAACAATGTTTATCTGATCCAAAAGAAGCATCTTAGAAAAATGTTTATTTGGGGGTTCAAAAAACCAAAATTCAAAAATGTTGCTTGAAATTATTTTGGGCTTAAAACCCTTAAGAATGTTCTCAATTTTATAGTTTCTTTTCTCCTCCTACCTAGCAAGGTATGTCACCCATTTTCCAATAGTGATGGAACTTCTTTCATTTATAAGTGTTGTATTTTAGCCTGATGATGACTCCTAGGAGTCGAAACATGTAGCATATAGCATATATGATTTGATTATAATTTACTTGGAGCGAGACTTTGAGTTTGTTCTCCTAATTATCTCATCACCTCCAATTTGAGCATGGACTACTACCAGAGATTTGAAATTTCAAATTTTGTTCCCGTCACAGAAAAAAAAACTATTCTTTTCTGATGAATATTAGTTGGACTCTAGCTATTATTCATCAGGATGACAACACATTTCATTGATCATAATATCAGATAGAACAATATGTCATTCATGGAACGTCCATATGATATTCTTATAGAGAATATTTTAATAATCTGAGAATAATCTCACATTGTGATTCAAATATTCTAAGAAGGTTCTATGAACATTCGGAATGGACTGTTTCAAATATTCTGAGAATATTTCTAGTATATTGAACGAGAAGGAAGAATATTTAAAAAAAGCTAGCTCCGGTGGAGATGCAAACCTACTATCTTGTGATGAATTTTTTCGAACCTGAAACCTCCTTATATACTCTATCGCCACGAACACTATCGATACATAAAATCTACAGCAAGATGACAATCAGCATTGAAGCTATAGAATAATAGGTTGCGTCAGGGTAAACATTATAGATATTGATAAAACTATAGGAAGATAATCATTATATATTTTAATACGATTCCCAATATTCTCAGAATATTCCGCGAATATGCCAAATAGAATGATCATAGAATATTGTTTGCAGAATGAAAATATTTTATATGATCATTCTGAGGAATATCCTAAAATAAGTATATTTGAACGTTGTCAGAATATTCATAGAAAATTCTATGCTGTCTGGGATAATATCTGTTAATCAACAATTGCAGGTATACGTCCTCCGCTTGCCGGATTCAAAATTACCGCGCTCTATCGGTATACCGTTACGCAGCACCGGTCGAAAATACTTTCTAAATTAGTACCTGGCATCGTCATCGGTACTGCCGAGCAACGGCCTCGCCTGATGGCCTCCTAGATTCAGTAGACGTCTCGCGATCGACGGGAACCACGTGAGTACCGCCATAGCGCTAGTCGAGTGTGGCCGTGGCGAAAATACCGCGTGAAAATCAGCGCAATTGGCCGTCGGCCGCGAATTTCCTGGAATCGGTACGATGAGTACGTGTCCAGTCCAGCAGGAATAGCTAGAGGTCCAGAGATTGGACCTGCAGCTGCGCAACCCTACCTCGAGTCCAGAGACTCCTACGATGCGTTAGACCAGGAACCCCGTTGCAATGGTGACCTTGCCTATATGCCTATTGTTTCTCAGTTGTGAGTGTGTGTTTTTGTGAAATTTCGTGAGCAGTTTCTAGTGAGTCCTAGTTATCGGCATTCGCAATGTATTGGAGTAGCTGTGTTGGTCTACTTTCTTTTGCTTTTCTGCTTATCGAAGGTGAGTGTAGAAAGCATATCAAAGAGCTTTTCGAATGTGCAATCTTAGTTCAATGATCGGTGTTGAGAACAATTAATGAGGTTCATAGCAATTTTCTTGGTTCATCAAGAGTTGTCTATGACCGAGCCTATGACAGTGTTTTTAATCGAATACTTTCATAAACTTCGATCATTGTTCTGATGATGAAGTGATCAACCATATATATTGAATCATACTGCAGACCGAGCTGCAGACATATAAAATTGAAATACAAATAATTCAAGCATAATGCATAAGGTATACTTGCGACTTTTAATCGAATTGTCTATGGAGTTTGAGTTGAGATCCTTTCAAGGTGGAAGGAACGTTATAGAGTTAATAGAGGAAGTGGAATGCATATTTCCGTAAATTCTTTGGACAAGTACACTTCTAGAATATTCAGGTGTATCAGAATGAAATATGATATAGATAAATAGTATGTGAAGAAAAGGTTCTTTGCATATTTTTCGCTGTCTGGTCCCTTTCAATATTACCGGAAATGGCTCCGGTTTTGAATTTCCTTATGGAAAACCCTGTACCTATATAAAATGTTTGGATGACTAGGACAATTCTGGATAAGAATGTTGTGAAATTTGTGAAAGTTTACACCTATTTTATATTTTTTAAATATATCTATAAGTATTTGGAACCTTTCGATATACCTACACCTATATTACAATACTTATTCTAGAGAAATTATGATTTGTCTATATATAGTACAATTTTTGATGCCCAGTAGGTTCATAGTAAGAACAAATCAGAAGGAAAATCTATGTGAATTTGTAAGTTTTGGTGCTCCATTTTTTATATACGAGAGGTGTTGAAGTTATCTGAAAAAAAAGTTCTATTTACTATACACAAGAATTTTTCGTATTTCGGTATATTGTAGATTCCTCCTTAGCAATTATTATTAATCAACCTCGTAATCAACAAGTGGATTGTTCATTTTTCTGAATAATAAACAAGCAGATCGGAAGTAGCTTTGAATAAATATTACCAGTAAACTAGATGATAAATGATTGAAAATAAATCAGAGACTTCGAGTAGGTAAGTAAACAGAACACAAAATTATTCAAAAATTATTCATTATTCCAATACGTATATTACAACGGATAAGACTAACCTCGTTTCGTTTCGCGGTTCATGGACTACTGACATGTTCTAAAGTTGGGATGTGATGATAAAGAAATCATCATATACACTAAGTGTCCGCTGAAGCAATCGAATGAGGAAACATTATTAGTTCAACACCGAGTTCAACACTATTATTTCGGAAATTTAACATTCGACAACGTCAAATTGTTTTGGATCCATGACACTGACCATGACACGGTCAAAACATCAAACGAGATCGGTGGACCTCGGTGGACAATTTACCAAAAGTTGCTATTATGCCGAAAAACACCAGTGAGCATGTTGCCAAAACGTATACACCTCTGGCAGGAACGAGGGCAGGAACAATTTTCCTATTGAGAAACGATGCATGGGTGTACGCAACGACACGTACTCGAGTCTGGCACGTGTGGCAAACGATGAAACCTCCGGTCAAGCGTGGTCTGGGCAGTGTTGGCAGACAAGATTTTCATATTGTACCAACTCATCAGAAAAAACCTACCACATTGAACACTGAATGTAGCACTATTCGAAGAAGGGCGGGAAACGGTAAATAGACTTTTTTTTTTCTTTTTATTGAAACAAATAAGAAAATATTCTCAATTTCCCTTTTGCAGTTTCACTGTTTCACACGCCATCAATCAGTAATCACTATCACCGACGTAAGTAGTTACTATCTAGACCGCTAATGCCATGATAAAGAAAATCGACTAGAAAACATTAATCATGCTTATTTAGGACCAGTGGTATCTATCTCATTCACTCTTACTTAGGTTTCCGAACACCGATGAACATGACTCGATGTCAATGACAGTTTGAGAGTTTTATGCGCTTTGAGCAAGAGCATTTTCATTCACCCAAGATTCTCGGGTTGTTGGGATATGACATATAACGATCTAGAAAGTAGTTAAGTATGTCAGTGATCAGTGATCACTATTCAAGTGATCAACTATTCTGAAATCTGTCATTACTCAATCACAGGAGCACAAAATATAAAATAAACTCTGTGTTCAAGTTTCATAGTTATAGTTCTGTGATCTTTATCAAGTTTCTGTCTCAATATTATTGATAACGAAATGAATACTACCTTCAAATGTACCACATATGGGCCCAATTCCACAATGTGGTACCATGCCCTGTACTTTTCAGTAGCAATTGTACCACATGTGGTATAAATGTACCACCTCTGGCAACACTCGTCGGGTCGCAAAATGGACTTGCTCGAAGGGGTAATAATCATATACCTAATGAACCTATATAGATAACGAGGAAGGACGAGTGAAGCCAAAGAATAAAACGAATGACAGTCTGAAGTTTTTCTGTCTCACAATACTTCGAATGATAGGAGAGAGTGCAAGAGATATAATTATATGTAGTGTGGCAGAACATAATGAAAATTGGGAAGCCCAATTCAAAACATATGTTTGTCTGTAGAAGGCACTTCTAGAAACAGATTGTGGAGGTAATTTCTTTCATTTCGAAAAAATATCTCTTCAGTGTTCTAGGAAATCCGAGAGGAAATCTGCTTTCCAATCGAGGGAATTCAAACGCAATTGCAGAAGAAGGTACATTTTTTGTGACGCAGATTCAATACCTTCACAAAATTCACCAATTATAATGCATCAAAATGTAAAACCTGTGATCACTAGATCTGAATGAAAAAGAGAGAGGTCACTTCGATACGAAACGATACGAAACATAAATTTCTCCAATTATTCTCCAATCTATATCAACCAACTCATCCTCATTAACTGGAATGAACTGATAATGACAAAGATACTGTCTGTAGGCTAATCGTGGAGGTGGTATATTCATTTTACTTGATTTTTTGGGATTTTCTCTCCTCGTTTCTGTAAAATAAGAATATGCGTATTATTTCAATAAATTGATAGAACTCGCTAACCATACATAGATATAGTGTGGGTTCAGATAGAATTGATTTTCAAAATCGCATTGTAACTCATGAAAATCTGATGGAGCCATCATGAGCCTGAAAAAAAGTGACACAGGACTGCGAAAACCGCAAGGTTCTATCTCCAAAGATAACTGAGATACCACGCAAAACCATCGAAAACTGAACACACCTCGGAACACACTGTACAACTACGCATGTTGAATGAATTGAATCTATTCTGCAGTGTGTACAAATTTCATTCATTTCATTTTTCATTTCATTTATTGCCAGAAAAGAGAAAAATTGTACATTACATTACATATTAAGTGGGTCAATACAGTAGATATTACATATTCATAGTAACTGCAATACATGGGATAAATACACTAATACCTACGCCGTTGTCCTTGATATTACTACTTGATAGTTTACAAGATATGGTAATCTGCGAGGTAATCTGTGAGTAAGCTAACCAAGTATATTATATCAATGCGGAGAACTGTGCTATCCTATTTAAATCATAATATGTTTATTTTCATTCCATATATCTACTTATACTATATAAATGAATTGTTTTTAACAATAAATACATTTACTGGCATCTTCACACGGCAGCAATATACCTGTGTGTGAAGGATATAATCATAATTATACAAGTAACTATGTAGAGAGGGTGAAAAAGATTCAAAACGTGGAAAGAAGAAGAAGATTATATATATTATAAAAGTAAAGATTTCCTTTACTCAATAATTTCAAATATATTGCTTGAACATCGATGCTGGTGAAGTATTTTGTTATTTTCTTAACAAACAGTGGAAAATTGTGAGGACTTGCAATAATATCTTGAGGAATAATATTGATAATTTTAGGTGCCATATACAGGAAAGATTTTTGAGTTGAAGTTTTTTTTGCGAAAGGTACGCGCATAATCAGTTCGCTTCTCTGGTTACGGATAAACTGAGCGTAAAAGGGGTTTTGAGGGCTCTGTTCGGTTTACTTTGCAAATTACCCTTAGGAAGAATTTCTGCAGAATTGTCAAGGGGTAGATATTTGTTTTATATGTTGTGCCATATATGACCACTCCATAAGATATAACTGAGTGGATGAGTGCAAAATACAACATTCTTGTAATATACAATGGTAGAAATGACAGTTTGTAGAATGTTGGTAGCAACTTACGCAGTTTTTTGGTGACGTGTATGATGTGTTGTTTCCAGCACATGTTTTCGTCGAATATTATCCCTAGGTATTTCACGTTATTCTCTTGTTCTATGATTTCGCAATTACATTGTTCTTGGGTGCAGTTCATTTTGTGGAATTTGATAGGCTGAGAAAAGTGTTTACTACCTCTACTAGTGAAGTTGATAAATTTAGTTTTTCCAATGTTTATTAGCATTTTATTACGACTGAACCAGTCCTGTAGCAATTTCAAGTCATGTGTTATATCTTGGAGTACGTCTTTTTCATTTATTCCAGAGTACAATGATGCTGTGTCATCAGCAAATGAAAATATGTCCCCCTTGAGTGGCATACCACAGAGGTCATTAATGTATACCAAAAATAGTATTGGCCCCAGAACGGACCCCTGTGGTACTCCAGAAAAGGTATTCATATTTGTGCTTTTTGTATTTTTTATTTTTACAAATTGGGATCTTCCCGAGGATCTTCCAGTCAAGTAGCTATGGAACCATTCGAAGCAAACACCTCTCACCCCTGCATCCTGAAGTTTTTCCATTAATATATCAGGCGATATAGTATCGAATGCTTTTGTTATATCAATAAATATTCCAGTGGTGAATTTACTATCATCTAGATATTTTTGTACAGTTACTGAGAAATTGATGAGTGCCAGTTCTGTTCCTTTGCCTTTCAAAAATCCATATTGATTGTTAGAAAAATAGCTTATACTGGAGAGATACCTCAATAAGTTCTTTACAACGAGTTTTTCAAGGATTTTTGATAGTATTGGCAACAG